AAAAATAAAAACAAAAATTTAGCAATCTTTGATTTTTATGAACATATGTTAACTGTACACATCAACGGGATTCAGTGTGATACTGTCCAACATACATACACTGTACACTGACCTATAGTGAAGTAGTTAAGTCCACAGAATGGTACGTTGGCCTCAACATGGCTGCCAGCTTACTGGTTTTTTTTAGGGTACTTATCTTGTTGTCTGGGCCTTCATTTCCATGATAATAGCAGGGTCGCATAAAGCAGGGCCAATCAGAAATGACACACGAAGGCCTTACTGTAGTGCCTCGCATGCACTAGGTAGGAACTATCCAGCGAATGTTGCTTACTTATTTTTGTATTAAGCTGATATGGAAGAACCCAAGACTTTCCTGACAAACCCCAGTACATCTTCATCAATCTCAAAAACACTTACCCCATTCTTCCCTGCCTCTCCCTTCCGACATTAGCTAATCTCAAATTACAGCCCTTATATATGCATCTGGGGCAACGGTCAGCATGGTCTGGCTTGGTCTCTGCCCTTTGGCTGCTTGGATTTTGCTTCTGTCCTCATAAATTACTCAGATTCTCTTCAAAATTTCAGCTGTATTTGTATCATGAACATGGAAAAGAGAAGAAAACCTGGTTCCTTGAGGGCAGGCCCTTCCCAAATTAGAGTACAGCTGAAGGCCCGACGGGCCAGGAAGCAAGGGCTGCCTGGAACTCCCCATCCCCAGCATGCCCCTTGTCGCCAAGTCGGCCTTGATCTTTGGCTGAAAACCACACCAGCCTGAAAGACCACACCAATAGAGATGGAGGGAATCCAGATGCCAACAAAGGGAAAGCCTTCAGATCTAAGCCAGATCTAAGACATCTTAGAGCAGACAGTTCACACTACCAACTGCACACTGGACCCACTCTTGCTGAGATGGCCTAGGAGGCTGAGGTTTCTACCAGCTGCCGGACCTACAGAATCACCACGTCCTGCCCAGCAAAGAAGTCTAGTCTGGCCTTGAAACTCAGACATTCTTAATCAAAGGACAGTTTGTTTTATCTCACATGGGTTTCTTTTACCTGTCTTTCTACGAGGAACACATTTCCCTTTCACAGAAGATTCATTTCACTCTTTATGGAAAATAGATGAGACTGGTTATACCAAACTGCTAGCAAATACTTGGCAAACATGAGTCGTAGTAGCCTGTCTTCTCCAGAGCTAGCTGCAGCCACAAAAGCTGGCCCTCCACTGGCAGTACAGCTCCCACCTACCTTTTTCTCTCTCCCTAGAGAGGTCACTTGGGGCCTGCTGATAATCCCAGCTAATGTCTTAGCCAACAGCGAGCCTCAAAGTGCAGAATGAAGGAACCCATGGAGGACTCGTGCACCAGCTTTTGGACTGACCCATGTGAAATCTCAGGCCTGGTAAAACAGAAACACGTTGTCCCCACCCTGCTTTGTCTAAATCCCTGACTCAGAGTACACATGAGTACAATAAATGTTGTTCAGCCCGCTGTGTTTTGGAGGTGATTTGTCATACAGCTTAGTAACTGAACACCGCTGGAATGAAACTGAAATGCTTATTTCCCACTCAGATCCAGTCCTCGTTGGTCTTCTCCCGGAAACTTCAGACTTTCAGACTCTTTACTCCTTACCTGGTTCCCATCACCCTAAGCCTGCTGCCTCTCTTCTTTCTCCCTCTCCAAAAGGTCTGATGTGGCTTTGGAGAGCCACTGCGTGAAAGGTCACTCGAGCCCTTCCCGTTTCCAGAGTGCTGGGACCTGAACAAATCTGCTCTTCCTAGATCTTTACTGAGGTCTGAGTGTCCCTGCAAAGGCACTCCCCCTGGGTGTGGGTGGCCCAGAGCTGAGGTGCCCGGCTGCCCTCCAGGCCTGGGAGGGAAGGTACAGATGGATTTCTCCCCTACACTCAGCTCTCATTAAGGTTCATGCTTAGCTTGTTCCTCACACTTGACTTGACTTATGACGCCCCTCTAACCTCCGGTGCGAGGAGACATCGATTCTCACAAAGGTCATTATCTTCTACTCTTGCTCCCCACCCCTCCCAGACCCATCTCAAGGCAAGCTTTCCTGGAATAGGAGGGAGGGAGACACCCTTCTCCACCCGCTCGGCCCTGGGAGCCAACCACTGCTGAGCCTGAGCTGCAGAGGGGGTGTCCTGGGAGCCCAGGCCCGTCAATCACACAGGCAACCAGCACTGAATCTCAGGCCATTAGGCGGGAGGGCTGGCGCCCTGCTCACTCACCGGGCAGCCATCGGCAGGATGTTAGCCGATCGCAGGGCAGCTATTCTTATGATTTATTCAAATACTCATTACAGTCAATCTATTTTTACACAGAGGTGAAGATGTGCGCTGATAACGGTTAATCATTTATAATTCCATGGACTGGTTGGAAGCCAATGTACTATCAAAGTCGTAGCGCAGCAGCAACCTGGTCTCGGGTAGCCCCAGCAGCAGAGTGCAGGAGTCACGCCGCCCAGGGCAGCCCAGGCATCCAACTGCCAATCACCAGTGGTTACTGGACTTAAGGCACAGCGTGCAGACCTGGGGGAGGCCCAGGCTTTACGCCCTGGGAGCTTGTCACCCCACTGGAGAGGGCACAGAAAGGGCCACCTAGAGGGCAGGGCAGCGTGTAAGTGCTTCCGAACCTCAGAAGAGGGAAAACTCACTTCGAGCTAGAGTATCATATCCATGGAGCAGGCTGGGCTTCAGCCAGCTCCCACAGGAGGGCAGGCTCCTGCAAGTGGGAAGAGGCCACAGGAACCCACACTTACGCTCATACTTAGGTATGAAGCTCTCACTGGGCAGAGGCAAGGGAAGTGGTCAGCGGTATTTCCTCCTGCCTCCCCAGAAATAACAGGATGTAAATGTTAAGTGTAGGCTATGAATCTGGCCTTGTTTGGGAACTCATGGTGTCGCTACTTCTTTGTCCTCCAAACATGGCCCATAGGCAGTGGTCGCTGAGGTCTGAGTAGCCTTGCAGACTCAAGATTTCCTTTCCCAGCATCCGTGACACATGTAACACGTCAAGTCCACCTTACTGTCCAATCAATACAGTCTAATTAAATAGCATGTCATGTTACAGGGCTGCTTTGTCACACTCAGACATAATCTAATTAGAGCTACACTGTATTTTACATGCTGACTAGCTCATTGTTGAGTGTCACTCTTACACAATGCCCGGCTGTTAAAGATCAGGTTCAGGGATGGCCTTGAACCCATAACCTTATTGAGTCGGTGTGGAAAATGTCAATCAAAGTTACTTACAGTTCACAGCCCCCTTTCTAGTGAGCCTCATGGAGGACAGAAAGCCTCAGCATCCTGCTCCAGAATTCACCTGCCAATAAAAGAAAACATCTTTATAGACTGTGTAAGATTGCACGGGGGTGAGAGGCAGGGTAGAGCTGGGGTGGGCGCAGAGGGGGATCCGCCGGGGAGGAAAGCGGGCACTTGCTCGCAGCTCTGAGCCCACGGTGCCGAGTGGGCAAGCTTCCTGGCAAAGGCTTTCTGGTGCAAACGATTAGGGTTTTAACAGCTAAGCAGGCTGCGGATGCAGACTCACGCTGTCCTGTACCTGTTGGGTGCTTCTATTTCTTTTGAGTTTTGGATCTGTCTGTGTAGGAGCCCCAGAGAGAAAAGCGCACTTAGCTAGCGAGTATCCCAAACTGTCCAAGGAGCAGTCTTTGTTCACTGGCGGCTCTCACCTGCTGGAGAGTCCTGAGTGGGGATGGAGTTCTAAGGGCCCCATGGAAGCTTCCAGACAGAGGGCGCTGCACATCCGGCAGACAACAGAACTGCCTGCATCGTATACGGTGGGCAACGAAATTCTTAGGAACTTTCAGATGAAGAGTTCGGCTGGGCCGGAAGGAAAGGGCACATGGCAAAGAATGATGAAGACAAGATGGAAAGTCCAAAACCCTGATTGCCTTTAATCCTCTTTCTGGAATAAAACAATTTCAGCAACCAGCACATATCTATCAGGTGTTTGTGATCGACACTTGCAGAACAAAGTCCATGGGTCCTGTTGCAAGTAAAAACTAAGATTGCCATAAGAAGCAACAGCAGGTGAGACACAGCCATGCAAACAGCTGTGCTCAGTTGTGTCCCAGAGAACTGTGTTCTCTCTCCATGAAGAGCAGACGTCTGCAGGAGTTGGGACACTCAAGGGAGCTCTGGTGGGGCACGAGAATGTGAGTAGGACCTCAGAAGAGGGGACGGGCAGATCTGCGTGGTGGAAAGGGTGCTAGGGATGTGTGCATGTGTGATGTCCCCCAGAGGTCATCCGTTACGGGCCTGGTTCCCAGCATGACATTAGTGGGCGGTGATAGAACCTTTGAAAGGTGGGAACAAATGGGAGGACTTTACATCAGTGGGGTGTGCCCTGCAGGGGCATGGTGAGACCCTGGCCCCTTCTCTTTTTCTTCTGTTTTCCAGTCATGATTGAACAATTTTCTCCGCCACATATTCCTGTGGTGATGTGCTAACTAACCGCAGGGCCAAAGCAACAGGGACAGTTGATGGTGGACTAGAGCCCGCAAGACTGTGAGCCAAACTGAATTTTTTCTCTTTATAAGTGGATTATTTCAGGTATTTTGTTACAGTGACAGAAAACTGAGTGATACAGGCCTGTTGATGAATAGAGGGCATGTCAAAGAAAGGGGCAATCAGAGGGAGGGTGAGCAGGGGACTAGGTGATGGTACATGCTTGTAATCCCTGGCAGGCTGAGGCAGGAGGATTGCTATGAGTTCCAGGAAAGCCTGGGCTACAAAGTGAGTTCAAGGCCAGCCTGAAATGCATAGTGAAACTCTGTTTTAAAAAGAAGAGAAAAAAGGGGAAGCACAGAGGGCCTATGACAGTAGAGAGGTTGTTGTCTCTGAAAGAAACAGAGGAGGGAAGCAGGTCAGCTAGTTAGAGCAGGCCAAAGCACCCAGGCTCTGAGCATCAGGCAGGAGGAATTAGGTGTGGACTGTGAGCTTCTAGAGCTATTGAAGGTTTCCCAGTCAGGAAGTGGTAGGTGGTAGCGCTGCTACTGAAGAATCCCTTTAGTATTTTTCCCTTTGATTCAGACAAGATAGGCATCTTAGAAGAGGGTGGAATTTCAGTTAAAAGATTCAGGTATCAACTATAGAGATGTGCTCATGAAAATAAAGGATTCCTCTAGTTCTCAACGATGTCGTCTAGCCAGAGGTTCAGCCTCTGTGTCTGTCTACCATTATCTGTGTGATTACAGTTTTTAGCTTTTGATGCTGAGATACTGGACTGCGAGCAACAGAGGAAAAGGATGATGTCCTGTGCACCTTTTCACTCATCGAGCCTAGCAGAGTGCCCAGCATGAGTCGGAAATAGCTCTTGAAAAACTGAACGTTCATTCTGTCCAGAATCCATAACTAGTGCCTTAGAACCAGCCCTGGGTTGGCAAGTGGCTCTGATGAGTGTTTTGTTAAACCACTTGCCTACCACAGCTGAGCTCAGTCCAGTATATGTAGTCAGTACGTGAAGTGTCCAGATTAAATTACCAGGAGCTTCGTGCTCTATGCCTGCCCTCTGGGAAGCCCATCTGAGAACGGACAGCTTGGAAGAAGACTTGGAGGTTTTCTGTCTGTAGGTGACACAAAGCTGCTGTACTCTCGTGCCAACACATAGCAAGCCAAAAGGAAGGGCCCAACTAACAAGTCCAGTTTTGCTTTACTAGTTATTGCTTTTGCATAATAGCATCATGATAACCATAAATGAAATAATTTCAAAAAAAACCTGTCCACAGTCTCATTACTCTAAACCATCAGATGATACCATGTTTTGAAATTTTTCCTCTTCTATAAAATTAATGATAAAAATCTAACAAATATATATATATAAAACCTGACTCTTATGTTTTGAAATCAATTGCAAGAACACAGAAGGCAGTGACACAGTTTTTAGAAATCACCTGGGTTAATTGAGTCAAATGCAAGTTCAGGACATGGTGTTGCTCTCAGACTCACTAAGTGCGACCTTAGGTTACATTTATAATCATACAGTGTCCAACTAAGACCTGGCCAATCTCTACTCTGGTCTTACCAGGCCATTGGTTCTAGTGTTATTCTGGCATCATGTTTTAAGAATCTAGCAGTGACAAGTAGGAAAGAGATGTGAGAGAAGACATCAAGCATTTAAATTGTGGGCTAAAAGTCTAGCAAATAAAAATGCAGGTTCTAGAGTTGCACCATATGTACGTCTGTCAATCTCAACTTGACCTTATCTCTGCTGTGCCTTAGTTTTTCATTTTGTAAAATGAGAATAACAACAGATCTACCTCTGAGGGTGGCTGTTGGGACTGCATGGCTTAATGTAACCTTCAGCGCATAGAGAAGCGCCTCACGCAAAAGGAGTCTCGGTGGACGCGATCAATTGCTGTTGCTGTTTTTAATATTACTAGAAAGCAGGGAGCTAGAAGTCCTGGTAGAAGAAACCAGAGCAGTATCATTATGTACCCTTCTAAACGTGCTAAGTGAAACATGTTCCCTAGTCCTTGCGATGGTCCTATAAACGACAGAAGACATTACATGGAAGACTGAATTGTTCTGGAAGGTAGGGTTAAGACTAACTGCAGGTGGCAGAGGAAGCTGATTTTCAATTCAATGTGAAAGAGCTGTGAGAGCCATTCCAAAGGGAGTCAGGCTTTCTCAGAAGGTCGTGAAACCCGCCTCCAGAGGAAGAAGTCTGCGCTGCTCTAGACCAGCCTCCCTTGGATTTCAGCCATTTGCAAAAATATTTTTAAAGCATTATAAGGCTAAAGAGATTAATAACTTTTGTTTTGAGATTAATAACTTTTGGGAGGTGGGTACCAAGACTTGAACTCAGGACCTCGCATTTGCCAGGCAAGATTAATAACTTGTATTTTGATAAAATATTAATAGTGTCTTTTTTCACCATTATTTCAAAATAATTCAATATATGAAAGGGAAAAACGTCATAACAAAGTCATCACTTGAACTGAACATACAGCATCACAAAAAACTGTCTCGGTCTGTCTCTTTCTCTTTCTCTGTGTATCTCTGTCTCTCTCTCTCTGTCTGTCTTTATGTCACTGTGTCTATCTCTGTCTCTCTGTCTCTGTCTCTCTCTGTCTGTCTCTGTCTGTCTGTCTATCTCTCTCTCTCTCTCTTTCTACCTCTCTCCATGCACCAGTGGAGTAGTCTTCCCTGGCCCAGGATACTGCAGGCACCCATCCATGTACATGATATTTTAGGGTCTTCCAAAGCCAGTCTGTGACCCGGGCAGGCAAACATCAGGTCAAAAGCCTTCAGCCATTTGCCAATGCAACCAGCATAACTTCAGTCTTTATTCACCATGAAGAGACGACGGAATCCCAAATGAGATCGGCATTCCCATTTACAGACATGAAGGGAATTTGGGAACAAGTGACAAACAAAGAGGGAGTTGTTGAATAGTCACGTTTATCTGAACAAGAGTCAGGAACAGGGACCAGAAGAAACAGGACAGTGGGGTTGACTTGGCATCCTCGACAGCTGTGCCAGCCTCTGTGAGGCACACTCAGGCAGGTCAGAAAGAGGGTGGGAAATGAGCTCGGGCTCAGGCAAGCCGTGGCTTCACATAGCACTAGACCAAGCTTCAGCCAGACATGCGTTAGGCGCTGACTCTGCCATTAACTTACTGCTTGCACTTGGGTTCGTTTGTTGGGTTTGAGGCAGGGTTTTGCTATATAGTTCAAAACTCATAGCAATCCTCTTGTCTTGGCTATAGCTGTGTGTCACCATAACCGACTCTACTGTTTGAACTTGGACAAAGGTCTGTAACCTCTTTATGCCTCAGTTTCCTCATCTGACAATGATAGATCACTGGATGATTCTTAAAATGGAATTCCAGATATACAGCTCCACTCTCTTAATTCAATGAATAGAGAGGTTTGCGATAATAGTGTTTAAAACAGGATATCATACCTGCATCTTGTACAATGAATAACCACTAAGACACCAATATGCAATGTATTAATTACTGTAAATGTGCCAGTAATCGGTTGTGAAACTGTCTCATTGATATTTGTTTCTCAATAAAATTATTAAAAAAAAAAAAGAAAGAAGAAACGGAATCCCACCTGACATGCACATTATCACTGAAGTTGTCCACATGAGTGTCCAGGGACAGCTCTTAGTACCTTGCTTAGGCAGCGCAGCATGCCTATCATGGTGCTGATGAGGAAAGAGGCCTCACCAGAACATCTCCGCGTCCATTCCCTCTAGCCTCTGACCACCAGGCTTTCAATGACACAATGACTGAGTAATCAGGTGAAGAAATAATTACCTGGCACTGACTGCTCTGGTCCAAGACTCCTACCCACTGGCACTGAGCACACTGCATGGCCTTCCTCTGAGTCCGGTAGAAATCAATTCTAATTCCATACGCATCCTCAGCTCTCTGCTTCACAGGCAGTCTCAGTGTTCAGTGGCGGAGGACCTGCGGAAGTTCCCTCAGCCACACTCCCTGGGCCCTGGCCAGGGAAGGCCTCTGATCTTTGGTCCATACCTATAAGTCTAGGTGTGAATCTGAAACCTTATAAGGCATCTTAATAACATGAGGCTGAACCTATGTCTTCCTGTACTGGGGAAGGAACTTGAGGTGCTTAGATCGCTCTACACTAGGTGAAAGGAAATGATTTACCCTACACGCCCAGGAAGTGAAGGCCACAGACACATAGCGGTGTGGGTTCACAGAGAGGATGGCCCTGCCGAGGGACCATTGGTAAGACCAGGCCTCCCTGGCTTGGGAACTTCCTCTGCAGTGCATGAAATAAGACCCAGGAATATCATTGTTCCTCCATTCACGCCATTGTGACTGACCAGGTGCCTTGTTTTCTCTCTCCAGAAGAGTGCAGGACCCCTGATCCGCCTCCTGGCCTCCAGGCTAACCCTCTCTTGCCCATATACCCCCTTACATGATGCTACAGGATCTTGCTGAAACACGAACTAGAGGGTGCCCACCCCTCCTTAAAGCCCTTCCAAGATTCCTCAGTGCCTGGCAGAAGCTGCCAACTGGCAGCCCCTATGTTGACTTTTGCTTGTCTGGTGTTTTGATAAATTCTGCCAATATCTAAACATTTGGGAAATTTCTCTTTCTACTCAAAAAAAAAAAGCTTTAACCATGCCAGTCCTGCATCTTCATGTGGCACCCGTTGGATGATGACATTGGGATCAACACCTCCAGCCTTTACTTGGGTGGAAGTCCTGCTCTCTTCCCCCTAGTGAGAAAGCAGATGTCACCCCAGAAGTCTCCTGTCCTGGGTCTAGACTCTGAGAGGCTGACTCCCACTGCCTGCTGAACAGTTCAAGGTGACAGCATGGACCAGGTGGGGGGGGCATTAGTCTCCCAGCCGTGCTGTAGTAGCAGCAGGTCGGGGGAGGACAGCCAGTGCCACTCTCACCTGGACCCACTAAGTAGTCCATCCTTTCACCTGGACACCTCCTCCACAGCTAGCCAGGGCATAGTCAAAAGGACCTTTTTGTACTTTTCCAGGGATGCTTGTGACAGCGCATGGGTGCTGAAGACACCCATCACCCCTTGATTCCTGCCCGTCCACCCCTGGGGCTAGCCTCTCCCCACCCCCACCCGTGTGGCAGCAGCACCCCCTCCCTTTATTTCCATCCCACTCTTCCTATCAAACCCCTAACAGCACATATTTTGTTAATTGTACAAACCTAATGGGGGAATGCATTGGCAAAAAAGGGTAATGGCCATCAGACCAGCAATAAAACAAAACTAATGGCCCATAGGAAGAAATCATGTCCACTTAATCCCGGCTCTGAAACCCTAACAGAATAATGGAATACCAACCGAGGGGTTTTTCTCTCCGTGCAGATTGCTTACACCATGTTAATCACTTGCAAAGCAGGCCACATACCACTCTGGCTCCCATGACCCTCCAGGGAAAGTAGCCGACCAGAAACAGTCAGTGAGAGGCTCATTACTGACATGCACCACCGCAGCACCACCCTCCTCCCTCCCCCAGGTGACTCCAGGACAACCAGTGTGGGGCATCGTTGAGGGCTGTCAGGTGCGGTGGGCCAGAAAGCAAGACACAGAAGACCTAATAATAGCAAGCATTTATTGAGTGTTTACTATGTGCCAGACACCACGCATTCCCATTCTCCATAGCCACGTGATGCCATAAGGTAGCCACTAGCCACATATAGGCTCTTTACAATTAAATTCTAATTAATTAAAATTAAATAAAATGTAAAATTCAGTCTCTTGTTGCATGAGCCACATTTCAAGTGCTCAATAACTGCATGTGGCTAGTAGCACATGTCGTGTTGGATGACTAACTGCCTTCCATTGTGCACGGAGAAAACAACGCACAGAAGGGGTCAGTGGCTTGGTCAAGGTCAAACAACAAGTCAGTGACACACTTTGGGACTATCATTCAGATCCCCTGACCCACAGTCCTCAGTGGTCAAGCAAGAGAACGGAGCCACGCCCAGGCCCACATGCTGGGTATGACAGGGAGGAGGGGTCCCTGCAGCCTCCTGGAAGAGTCCTCAGGCTGGTCAGATGGGGTGTGAGCCAGAGGACAGCGCCCTGGGGAAAAGCATGAAGAGAGGAAGTGAGGGCCAGTCAGATAGCTCAGTGGACTAAAGCGCCTGATTAGGCAGGTGCAGGGACTGGGTTTCAATCCCAATCCCTGGCATGGGCATGCTGAGATGACCACTGAGACTGGGCGTGGTGGTGTCCACCTGCAACCCCAGTGTTTGGGAGGTGGAAAACAGGCAGATCACTACGAGTCCGATCTGTGTGTGAGACCCTGTAATCCTGTACTAAATACATTTTAAAAATTAACATGTATTACTGTTAAAAATATGTTAAACATATATTTAGGTTGAGCAACCTCAACTTGCAAATGTATCCCAAAGAAAGAAAACTATTGGTACAGAAATATAAAGCAGCATTGTACAGAGTGATAAAAGCAAAAACAACATCGGTGTCCACCCAGCAGGGAGTGACTGGCTAATGTGGCACAACCACACTGCCACTACTAAAAGAAGCTAGTTGGAGTTGCATCTTGCCAAGGGAGATGGTCATAATGTTCAAAGAAAGAAATGTAAATAGCAGAATGACGTATGCAGTGTGGGTCCATTTCTGTAGAAAAGGAAGAGAGCATAGTTCGGATTTCTGTTTCTGCAGGAGTTTGCGTGAGGACAGAGCCAGGCTGAATCCAGTGCTCCTGGAAACTCACTGCTTTTCGTACACCTTTGCCTTGGCTGCAGTGAACACTGCTACTTCTACAATTTTTGAAAGGAAATTTATTTTTACTTTATTTTATTACAGTTATTTCACATCTTTTTGTTGTTATTGTTGTTTGTTTGATACAGGGTCTCACTACACAGTTCAGACTCACAGTGATCCTCCTGTCTCAGCCTCCCTAGTGCTGGGACTGCAGGCATGCGCCACCACACCTGAATCTGGGGCCAGCATGGTGTGAAAGAAAAGAAAAATAAACAATAAAAATAATCACACAAAGTTCCAAAACACGATTGTAAGAGAGTAACAATGGTTAATACATTGCCTATTGTTATGTTCAAAATAGCTCCTCACATTACAAGATATAGGTTTGAAAAATTGATCCAGTGGCATAAGCAAAACATTTATTGAAAAGAAATGTAATAAAGCTAAAATAATGAATAAAAAGAAAAAGAGGTCTGACTCGAGAGGTAGGTAGCCTTACTAAGAGTATAACCCTGGGCAAGTTCCTTTACTTCTCTTGGGCCTGGTTTCCTCACCTGGAAATTGATAACAATAATAAGATGTCATGAAAATTGATGAGAAAATCAATGTGTAACACCATCATATGGTAGCCATTCAATACGTGGCCATTTGGTCACTGCTGTCAGAACTCCTGCCCAGGACTGAGCACAGCCTCCCAGTTCAGCCAAGCTGGGCTTTCTAATGGCAATTGCTTACCTACTTCTTGGGCCCCCTGTATTTTGCCTCATATCACAGTTTTAAGTGTCTGTCTCCCCCCCCAGAAGCAGACCGTAAGCTCCTTGCAAGTAGGAGCAGATTCATTCAATCATCCATTTATCATTTATTCCTCTAATAATTATGCCCATGCCATAAAACCAAGCACCATGCCTGACAGAGGAAATACAGCAGGGATCAAAGGACAGGCCCCGATTCCAGGAGGCACACATGCAAATGGGAGGAGCAAATGATAGATAGGTTGGTAGATACATAGATAGATAAATAAGATAGCTAGCTAGACAGACAGACAGACAGACAGACATTCAGATAGTGATAAACACAAAGCAGAAAAAGGCAGCAGGAAGGGAGAAAGGTGATTAGAAAGTGCAGGGTGGGCATTTAAATGAGAACAGGATGGCTGCAGGATCTCGGAGGAAATGCCCTTTGGAGCATGTGCCACCAGCCAAGGAAGTTCAGCAAGTGCTCAAAAGGTACTGGTTTAAGAATAAAATAAAAATAGTTCCCAGCATTCTAGGAGGCTAAAGCAGTATCATCAAAAGTTCAAGCCCAGTATGAGCAACTTAGTGACTTAGTGAGATCCCAAATAAAAGATAAAGGACCGGGGATACAGTTCAGTACAAATGCCCTGGATTCCAGCCCAGGTAACATAACAATTAATGAAGAAATTAATTAATTAAAAATAAAAATAGACTTGAAAAAGGAACAGAATAACTAGAATGACTTAAAAAATGTGCTTCCACTTCTGAGTGTAAAGCATATACCCAGCCCGCTCGCAGAGGGCCGGCCTGCAGTTCCCCGTGGGCCGCATCCATCGACACCTGAAGTCCAGGACAACCAGCCACGGGCACGTGGGCGCCACGGCCGCCGTATATAGCGCGGCCATCCTGGAGTACCTCACGGCGGAGGTGCTTGAACTGGCAGGAAATGCATCCAAAGACCTGAAAGTAAAGCGCATTATCCCTCGACACTTGCAACTTGCCATTCGTGGGGATGAAGAATTGGACTCGCTCATCAAAGCTACAATTGCGGGAGGTGGTGTCATCCCACATATCCACAAGTCTCTGATTGGGAAGAAAGGACAACAGAAGACTGTGTAAAGGATGCCTGGATTC